TTTTTTCTTTATGGACTATTAATTTAAAGTTGCCCAGAATGGAATTTTGTTCATGCTGTCTAATAAACAAAAAAACAAGATACCTTCATTGAAATTCAAAATTTTCAAAATCAATAATCAGTTGCCAGTCGGTTACAAACCGGTTATAACCGGCCAAAATCAATAACAAATTCTAAATTTTTAGATTATGAAGAAGGTAACTTGCTTTTTGCTTATAAGACAGCATGAATAGAATTTAATTTTAAACAACTTTAATTAATAACTCAAAAAGAAAAAGTCATTACGAAATTTAGTAAATTGATTATAACCAATAACTGGCCATAACCGACCGACCGAACCCATCCCTAGTTCCAGTGGAACAGTCCACCAGTGATGGGTTATGACCAGGTCATAAACCTTTAATTAAACGACCAATGGTCATATGGTTATATGACCAGTAGTCATATTATTTTTAGGTCATATAATTATATCCACGCAAATTGCGTATTTTTTATTATGTACAAGGTTTTACTAAAAAATCTTTAATTAATCAGATCGTTATAATTATAAAAGAGACAATTTAAAATGACATAAAGTATAGGGTCTTTGTAGTTGAAAGAGTCCATAAATATTATTTTGAGATAATCAAGTTTATTGTAGTTAATGTGAATCGATTTTCGCGCCAAATTTTCCCAAGTCTTAATTGATTCCCTTTCTACCGCAAAAGGATATTTTCTCAATGAGATTATTATGTGTAAGAATTTTTAATTGATTTGTCTTCAGAATAAATTTAGCCAATTTTGGTAATACCAATTGAATACGTAAATTTGAACAACTATAATTTTAGGTAGCCCTTGTATTTCACAAAAATTGAAACAAGTTTATTCAATTGACAAGATGAACAATACAGGATATAGACGCTGGTAAAATTAATTTCATCAAATTTCACTAATCCAACGCCAATTCACCAATAATGATGAAATTATTTCATCAAACTAGTTAAATTCACCAGAATCTTTACCGACACTTTGAAATAGATTGCATAAGATAATAGATAATCAGGTAATATTTGTAAAAGTATTAGAAAGATCTTGGATCCTTAATGTGAGTCTAGTGATCATTACTACGTTCCTTGTTTAAACACGACTACTTATTTTAAACTATGTGAAATGGTTTCAATTTTATGTAACCTTTCATGCCCAATAAATATACCGAAAAAAAATTAAAATTCAAGTTGCTGGGTCACTAAAGGTTAGTTGATGATATGAAACTAATAGTATAAGTTTGTATGGCCTAATAAATAATTACAAATATAAATATAGTATTACAGTAATTGGTATTTTTTATACTCTTTTTTAATATTGTCACACCTCTACTAACTCTAAACCCAACCAAAACTCCAATAGTTATATGGATTTTTAGTAACAAGAGTGTGGCAATATCAAAAAAAGTATGGAAATATCAATTTCTTATTTTTAATATAATTTTAGTTACAGTATATAATTATGTAATTTTGACTTTAGATTATACGTATTGGGATATTTATATTATATTAAAAGTATTAATAAAATTTTTTTATCATAAATTCATGACTAAATGAGGTCATTTTTCAACACTGCTGGTCCTAGCATCATCGACCTAAAAAATTTCACTGCCCAATCAGGTTTCAAATGAGCCGGCTCAAATAGGCTTAGCCTACATTTCTGTTGGCTCATTAAGGCTTATATAGGTTGTAAACTATATAATATATAAATATACTACTTATTTGTATAATTTATATTGAGTTATAGGTTGAATTTTTATAAATTAGATTATTATAAAGTTGGACTGGTTCATTTTGATCCAATTTGGATTGATTATATATATATATGTTATGCACCTATTGCATAATTACGCAGATGTGTACATAACCATACATATTAGGTCACGCAAAGTTGATGTTTCGTTTTGCATTACCTGCCGACCAAAATTTTTCAAAATCCCTATTTTTTTTGAGTTCCAATTGCGCTAATTATTCCATTTTTGCTGTTTTATTTTTCGATCTTTGTTATCCGGTGTTACCCGATTGTGACCACACTTTTCCGGAATTACCCGATAGGATTCCAAGGGAAAACCAGACTTCAGGCTTTTAAAATCTATAATTTACTGAACTAAAACATGTCAGCAACAAATAAAATTGTAAGTCCGAAGTCTGAAAACTTTAACATTTAAAAAAAAAGGGTATAAAAAAATCAAAAAAAAATCGACCGACCGACCCAATTTTTTGATTCCATGTAATGCAAAACGAAAAATCAACCTTGCGTGGCCTTAGTGTGACTATGCATAATTACACAGAACAAATGACATTTGAACAATTGGACAAAATTGCCCAAAACATTGGCCAACAACCAAAATTTAAAAGGTTTGAACATTTGAACAAATGATTAAATAATTATATAACTTTAATTATGCAATATAATTGGTTAAAAATATAAATACTACAGTACCAAACAGCACAAAATATCAAATTTTTCTTAAAAGCGCCAAATTTTGAGATTATATGATCAAATTTGATTGGCTAATTTTTGCAAAATAAATTCTGATTGGTGAAAATATATATAACTAAATTTTTTTATATATTAAATGTCAAATTTTTGATTGCATATAAACTTTAAGTTATAAGAACTTTCTAATTCTATAAGAATAAAAATCCATTCTAACAAAATTGTAGCTTAAACTAAAAGCAATAAATTTGTAAAACAGATTTTTTTTAAAGTGATTTGTTTTCGAGTTACAAGCATTTTATATTTTATATATAAAAAGTGAATGTTTTTTGCTGTCCAGTACTGTATAAAATAAAACTGACTATTTAGTATTTTGATCACGTGATCTAGTATTTTTCATAGCAAAATATTGAACAGGCCAAACCTAATTTGAACATGTTCAAAACTGTTAAAACCTTTTAAACATGTCCAATGTCCAATTAAACTTTTAAACATGCCCAAGCCTAAACATATGCAAGAAGTGCATGAAAAATCGAACTAAATTAAATCAAAATGACCAATAACTTGATTTCATATTTTGACCCTGGTTTTAATTCAATTTTTTATATTTAATTTATTTTAGTTCAATTTTTTATATTTAATTCTACGTTAGCACATATTTATTTTGGTTCAGTTTTAATTCAATTAACATCTCTAGGTTTAGTAGTACAACATCGCAATGATTAAAATAACGGATTTAATACAGAATACGTATGAAAGGGGACTTCTCGTCCTATTACAAAAAATATAAAATTTCCATGTGCATTCGCGTCAGGGCACAAAATTTCCGAATGCCGGAAGCTGCTTTTTCTCCGGCGGTGTTTATTTTAACCGGAACTTGGAAAACTCAGCCGAATGTAGCAGTTTTTTAATAAAGATATTGTGTGATATTTATTGATATTTATATACATACGTATATATGATATCACATTCAGAAATTTTCCGGCTGTTGAAAAGTCGGGCCGGAAATTGTCACGTGTAAACGGAAATTTCCGAAATTTTACAATAGGATTTGTGCGTCTTCTCATTATGATTAACTTACGTTTAGAGTTGCTTATCATTGTTTATGGCGTAAATCACATACTAATTGCATAATTACCGTTTATCATAATCGTTACACGAAAATAACTGTGACCAATTAAATTAAATTAGAGATTGGACCCGTTACCCGGGTTATCCGAGTAAATTAAATATGTATTTTGGGTAATCATATAGCAACAATCTCTAACGGGTCAAATCCCTAAATTAACAATTGCAAAAAATTGCAATTATCACATATTGTAAAAAAAGTAATCACTAATTTCCGATTTCTTCACCATTTTTTTGACTTTTAGATTAGACAAAATTTGCATATTTATCATTTGTAAAAATTGATCGAATATTTTAATGCGCAGCTCCTATTTCTGCAAATATTTCTATAAAAAATAGATGATGAATCATTGTGTGATAAATAAGGATTTACTAATTAATTGTATTAGTTAGTCTTTATTCGTCACTCAAATGGCTCATCACACCCAAAATTTAATTAATTGTGGCTGCGCCGCCAATCAATTAATTGGGTAATTAATTATCCTCACAATCAATTATTTGGTAGGTTTGCCTACGACGTACTTAGGGGGAGTGCCATTTATTACGTAATTTTTAGGGGAGAGGGAATTTATCATATATCGAATATAAATGTTACGATGGCAGGAAGGGGGAAATTACGTAATAAACGGCATACCGATACTCCTAAGTAATTAACCAGTTATATTCAAGAATTTTATCTCCTATAAGAATAACGAAATTTTTTAAACAAAAGAGCGTAACTTCGTAGGTCTTATCTAAATTATGATTCATTTTTGGCGAATTTCCAAGTATTCATTGAATTACCGATTTGGATATGATTAATGGAAGTCCTGCGGTTTGCTAAATGTCAATCGCTTTTTCTATTAAAAGAAGATTAGCTAATGATGACCAATGAAATTTTAAACGCCGATGCAAATCAGATTTGCATACATACTCTAATTTGAGCTTAGTATCATCCGCGCAGTAAGGTAGTATCATCTGCGCAGTAAAGATCAACACTTTCGAAGTTAGCGATAGTGCGGTAGCGCTAGAAAAGATTGAAATTCATCATTTATAACGGTAGGTGAAACGTTACATCAAGTTCTGAAAGGTTAAAACATATTTGCCGAATAAAATTGATTTTGGCAATTGATCCAAATCAACCAATAATATGAAGTATTTCCATTACGTTTTGCATGTGAAGTGATTATCCTTTGATTCTGTGAATCGCTAAGCCGAATCCCCAAATAAATCTTGGTCGAAATTTGACGTTAACGTTAGTCACGACTTACAACCTATTACTAATACACATGTTCATATACACATGTTCATGTAGTACTAAGATGCAATGTACGCAGTAAGATAACCGATAACGAGCATAAAATTTTGAAAGGTTGTACAAAATTACATTTAAATTCGTTGCTTTCACGAAATTATACTAAAAAAAAAACAATGTCTCTAGTAGATACAATTCCTCCGATAATTGTTGTAGCAGTTAGTAGCATATCATTAATTTTACAAATTATTCGTAATCGAACAAAGTATATTGAAATACCATCGGAAGAGGTTTCTGATGATATAATCGATAGTGCGCGCTTCTCAACAGTAAAAAGGGATGTCGTTAAACTTGGGTTTACGATACTGCAGACTGGATTGTTTACTTTCTTGTTCTGTTGGAGATTTAAACATGGAAATGATATAAATTATGATACGATAAGTGCTGGAATTCTTGCTATTTGTTGGGTAAATCTATCATTATTTTTTATTATTTATTTCACTTTAGTTTCTTTATCGTCGATATTTGTTATTCATAGCGTTTCTTTTTGATATTTTTGATCTAAAAGTTTTATGCCCTCTCAATTTCAATCATTGCCTTATCATTAAAATCGAGACGTTGGAGATGGATATTAAATGCGTATTTGACTGCATTTTTTTTTACTTCCTCATTATGCTCACTTTGGCAATTTATAACCGTTATAAAATTAAGATCAAGTGGTTCTTATCGTATAGACGAAATAATTGAACAATTGTCTGTAATATGTAACTTTGTTTTCTCAGTAACAGCTACATCAATTGCTATTACAACTCCAATGGGTCCGCCAATACTTCAAAATGGAAAAGCTGTTTGTGCAATTGAGTATTGTTCAATATGGAAATTTATCACTTATTCTTCTGCTTCTAAATTAGTTTTCAAAGCTTACAAACAAAAGACATTCAGTGATGATGAACTTGATTTACTTCCATTTGCTCTTCAAGCTAGGTCTTTATATAATGTTTTTAAAACATCCAAAGGGAGTAAACTTTTGTATCGGATATGGATCGCTAATAAACGTGTCTTAGCTTTACAGCTTTTGTTCACGATAATTGGTGCTGCATTATATTATGCTCCAATTCTTTTCCTATACCTTTTTCTATCGTTTATTCAAACAAAACTAGCAAATGATTCGTTGGAGCCTGGATTTTTATATATATTTGGTCTGCTTATATCAAATATTTTGTTATATTTCACTGTTGCTCAGAATTGGTATTGGGCTTCATGTGTACTTCAAGTTAGCGTAAAGGGGATGCTTAATTCTGAAATCTATTCAAAAAGCTTAAGACGAATTGATTCTCATGTTTCTGTTGTAAAAGATGAAACTGATAAACCTGAGGATGATTCAGATAAAGTCGATGATAATGATTCATCCGTTGGCAAGATTACTAATCTTATGTCAGTTGATTCAAGTCGTGTTAGTGAATTCTCTGTATGGTGGACAAGCACAATTGATAGTCCGATAGAATTAGCTGTTGGTATTTATTTTTTGTATCAATTATTGGGAGTATCTTGTTTGCTCGGTTTTTCGATTATGATTATTACACTTCCGATTAATCATCAAACGGCCAAGTTATCTGCAAAAACTCAAGACAAACTTATGAGTGCCAGAGACCGTAGAGTTGGACTTATGAATGAAGTAGGTCCTTTAATGTCATACTATACCAATATATCTTCATATGTCTTTTTATGCTTATTTTGCGTCCAAATGGAAGGTTCTACAAGGTATTCGCATGATAAAATTCTTTGCCTGGGAAAAAAATTGGGAAAATAGAGTATTGGGTACATATTACTTCCTTTTTTTCGCATTATCTATAAAACCTTGCATACGTTGAAATCAACCTTTTCTTTTTGTAGAGTCTCGCAAAATTGAGCTTAAACAACTTCGAAATAGCTTTATTTATTTGGCCATGTTTGATCTATTATGGTCGGCTTCACCTATCTTGGTCACTATTCTTAGCTTTTTCTTTTACACCAAAATTCAAGGAAATGAGCTTACACCAGCAGTTGCTTTTACTTCGATAGTTGTTTTCAATGAACTTCGGTTTGCACTTAATATTCTACCTGAAGTTTTTACAGAGGCACTTCAAACTCTGATTAGTATACGTAGAATAGAAAATTTTCTAAATGAAGATGAGATCGATATTCCACCTGAAAATAATTATCCTCTTATTACATCAATCTCTTTTGAAAATGCAACCGTTTCATGGAATAGGATAAAAGAAAATAGTGATGAGTTTACTATGCATGATTTGAATTTGGATTTTCCTGTGGGTGAATTAAGCATTATTTGTAAGTTTTGGTATTTTTTAAAAAAATTCTTTTACGTTATATTATAAACAACGTATTTATACATATATATATATATGTTTTTAGGTGGGCCAACCGGATCTGGGAAGGTTAGTATAATACGTCTATAAATATGTATAAATTTGATATATATAATAATATTAATATTGTTATAATGTACATTTATTAAAGACATTGTTATTAATGTCACTTCTTGGAGGTAAATGAAATTCAATTCAGTATATGGACTTTATTAGCAAATAATGTTATTCTTGATAAACATTCTTTGATATATCTTTATCAACAGAAACGAATATTTGTAGCGGCAAGATCAATAGTCCACGTTGTCTCACAATCCCTACTGATAAAGATATCAATGAAAATAATTGGATTCTTCCGAATTGTACTGCATACGTTGCACAGCAAGCATGGCTTCAGAATGCTTCTATTCGTGATAATATTCTTTTTGGTCTTCCTTACAATGAAAGTCGTTATAATCAAGTTATAAAAGTATGCGCGTTGGAAAAAGATTTTCAAATATTTGAAGATGGTGACATGACAGAAATTGGTGAAAAGGGAATTACATTAAGTGGTGGTCAGAAAATGCGTGTCGCTTTAGCAAGGTAAATTTAATTATGATGGATTTTTATATTTTAATTGATTATTCATTAAACTTGATGTTAAAATTTAATGCTAATTGTAAATATTATAGAGCTGTCTATTCGCGAGCACAACATATTTACATAGATGATGTCTTTAGTGCTGTTGACGCACATACTGCTTCGCAATTGATGAGCAAATGTCTATTAGGTCCTATTATGAAGGGACGTACCCGAATTCTTGTAACGCATCATATCAGACTCTCTGTTGCTGATGCTGCTTATTTGGTATGGCGCAAACTACCTGTTACGACATTTGCATTTTAATAATTAATATTGTACTAATTACGATCAGTTTATTCTTTTAGGTTGTTGTCAATAATGGAAAAATTGTTACGTCTGGTTCGGTTTCAGAATTACGTAATTCAGGAACATTGGCTTTGATCCTTGATGAGAATGATAGTCAATCAGAGTTCGCGAATTCCATTGAATTAGCCGCGGAAAATGCTGTTAAAGTCAGTAATATTTCCGAACAGTCAATTTCATCTTCATCCATTCCTGGTCACAAGGCCGGTTCATCAACTGCTTCCGATGCAACTCTTGTCGAGAATGTTGAGAATGTTGCTCAAGCAGATGATTCACAACCAACAAAAAAAGTCTCTAAACCAAAAGTTCTTGTTGAAGAAGAAGGTGTGTCTTTGTATTTATTTGGTTGATCCGGTTAAGGATAAATGGTCGTTAATCTTTGTTGTAATCAATTATTAGCAAGACCAACTGGCATGATTAAATTTAAAATTTACATGTCTTATTTCCGTGCAAATGGAAACATAATTTATTGGTCGATCTTTGTCGGACTGTTTGTTGTAACTAGAGTAACGCAGATAACGGAAACTTGGTGGCTTCAGGTTTGGTCAAACGCCAACACTAGCGAGACAACTCCATCTCTTTTCAATTTCGTTCGACAAGATAATTTAATTATCATAGATGAAATAATCGACGATATTCATATGCCACATAGCGTTGATTATTATTTAACTATATACGTGTTAATTACACTCTTATCTATTGTCATTGGTATCTTGCGTTTTGTTTGGCTTTATTATGGATCTTTAAAAGCGTCTAAAAAACTTTATCAACGACTACTTCATCAAGTTATTCGTGCCCCATTAAGATTTTTTGATACAACCCCAGTTGGAAGGATTCTTAATAGGTTTAGTAAAGATTTTGAAACAATTGATTCTTCAATAGCACGTAAGTTTATTTTGATGTTTATCTTAGCGTTGTATTTATAGTTATTGTCTGCAATTTTCTTATTCTGATTAAATATTTTTATAGAGAATCTTTCATGGTTTTTGGTCAATGTAAATCAATTTTGTTTGTTATGCATTACTTTATGAATAATGCAACGTAACTCTGGTTATAACGACACTGTCTGAAACATTACTGAAAAAAGAAAACTAAAATTTCGGTATTATTCAAATAACTATAAGTTATAACGACATGAGCGCGATAGAAAAGGTTTTACTATTATGTTGTTATATATAGATACGTTATACTCAGCTGTCGTTATATCCAGGTGTCATTATGTAGAATTGTTTGTAATTTACTTACTTAACGTAATTTTTTTAGGCTCTCATGATGTCAAGTAGTTTAGTTGTCGTAACGGTCATTACAAGAGGTATTAATGTTTTTATCATGTTCTTTAATACATAAACATTAAATCTAAAATTGTAATTGTAACAATAGAGTTTCTTGTTGCGGCAATCGTATTTGGTAATTTTTCATTATTATTATATTATTATTATTTTATTTATCCTCGTCTCGCAGTAACAAAGCCAATTTTTCTAACTTATCTTAACCAGGTATTATTTATGCAATTGTTGGTGCATTATACTCGAAGACATCTCGGGAACTTAAGAGAATGGATTCTGTGTCAAGATCCCCGCTGTATTCACATTTTACTGAAACTATAATGTAAGTATTAGAATCATATTTTAAGGTTTGAATTTTTTTTCTTTATTTGGTTTAACAATATTTTCAATATTTAACAATGATTTTGTTTGTAGTGGCATAACAACTATTAGAGCATTCAGTGCATCGAACCGGTTTATGCAAGATATGCTATTGAAGTTTGTATATAAATTTATTAAAATTTTCACGTAACTTTACATTTAATTAAAGTTTCATTATTTTAATTCACAGAATAGATAACAACATTCGCCCGTTCTTTTATGTGTGGTTAATAAATCGTTGGCTTTCAATTCGTTTCAACATAACTAGTGCATTCGTTTCGTTTTTAGCTGGTATATTCATTTTGTGGAACCTTGATAGACTTGATGCTGGTTTAGCTGGTTTGTCCTTGTCGTTTGCAATGCACTTTACAGAGCAAATAATGTGGACCGTTAGAAATTATACCTCACTTGAAATGAGTTTGAATGCTGTTGAAAGAGTAAGTGAGTTCTCTGAAATTCCTCAGGAGGCTCCAGCTATAATTGAACCGAGACCACCAGCTTACTGGCCACATAATGGTGCAATCATGGTACAAAACCTAGAAGTTAAATATGCTCCTGATTTAGAGCCAGTATTACATCACATTTCATTTAATGTGGAAGGTCAAGAAAAAGTAGGACTTGTTGGACGCACTGGGTCAGGAAAGTCAACAATAGCATTGACACTGTTTCGATTTGTGGAACCATCTGATGGAAGAATTTTAGTCGATGAAATTGATATTTCTTCCGTTGGTGTCGAAGATCTTCGTTCAAGAATTACTATAATTCCACAAGATCCTACACTATTTACAGGTAATCCTGGTTAAAGATCAACTATTATCCGTCTTTTTCTGATAAAATAATAATTGCTCCATTTTTTTAGGTACAATACGGTCAAACCTTGACGCGTTTTCTCAATATGAGGATAGTGAAATATTGGAATCATTACGACGCGTTCACTTAATCCCTTCTGCAGATGATGTGGAAACTAACACATTTTCAGGGGATAATATCAATTTATTTAAAAATCTGGATACACCTGTAAGTGAAGGTGGAAAAAATTTTAGTCAAGGGCAAAGGCAATTATTATGCCTTGCTCGAGCTTTGTTAAGAAGGTCAAAGATTATATTGATGGACGAAGCCACTGCAAGGTATTACTATTAACTTTTTAAACTATTTGACTTAGTGTGGCAGCTCGCTAATGTAATTTTTTTTCTCTACTTATTAGCATTGATTTTGCTATGGATGAAAAAATTCAAAAAATGATAAGAACTGAATTTGCTGATTGCACGATATTATGTATTGCACATCGTCTACGTACTGTTATTGATTATGATAGGATATTAGTTATTGGTATGAATAAATTTCTATCACTTTATTGATGTTCTTTAATTTCTTTAAAAAATTGATCCTAAGGTTGTTTATATTTTCAAGATCGAGGAAATATAATAGAATTTGATAGGTAAGCAAATCGTTATATTATAACGTGCATTCATGTCGTGGTTTATTAATATATTTATGCATCTATATGTCATCAACCTAGCCCATACAATCTAATTACTGATAGCAATTCCGTATTTTACCGAATGTGTCAAAATTCTGGTGAATTTGATTTGTTAATGTCCTTGGTTTTAAAGAAGGGTAAGGCTGATAGTTAGAATGATGTAGTAATTAATAACGATGTTGACATGTATGATTAGTTTATAATTAGGCATATGTAAAATATGCGTTTAAACCTTAATCTACATTTCTTTGATGAAAATTAGTTAAAAACATTAACATTTTAAGAGATCTTTTTATAGAAATGGAATGAAAAATCAATAATGTAAACCTTTAAAATGTTTGTAGCAAGATAATCATGATTAGTAAATACATAGTAACGTTACTGGAGATGTGACGCATACAGTAATTTACATACTGTACATGACGCAGCTATTTTAAATCTGAGATTCGACTTTAATAGTTCTGGTTTTTAATAACATATATTGTAGTAATGCACAATAACAATCAGCTGGCATATTTTATACAATTGTATTTTATTATAAAAAAATGATTTAATTCGGTTTGAAAATATATAGGGTATCTCATATTAAGAGACATTTTTACATAATAAACATTTTAGATTTAAATGAAAATTTTCTATTTAATGTTTATTTTGTGGACCTTTTTATTATACATATCATTAGCCTTTGCAACGTATATCAAACTTTTTTATTGAATATATATATCTATTCAAAATCAAATAAAAAAAAGTTTACCAAAATTGTACTTTAATACAAGGCACCCCACTATGCGGATCTCGATGAATACGTAAGATTTTGTGAATGAATTACTTTATATAAAATTTGATTTGCAGTTAACTAGTTAACTATAATCTACCAGTCAAACCGTTCTAAATGCAACTCAAAACTTTTAGTAACATGCATTTAAAGAACAAAGAAAAATTGCAATTGTAGAAATCAAGTGTATATTTAAACCAGGAACGTAGTGAAACTGAGTGTCTAAGCCATTAATAAAATCTTGAATCCGATTAGCTGAGAACGTTTCTTACTATACTACGCTTATTCTTTAGCATATTCATGTGCACAACTCCCAATTTCATTATATATATTTTTATATATAATAATATAAGCAGAGGTACCGAAAATTTAATTGCAATTACATTTTTATGCAATTACGATTAAGTAAATTCGTAATAAACAACAATTACATTTGAATTAATTGCAATTAGCAATTAATTACAATTTGCTACGATATAAGTTTAACTTAATAATATCGAATTTTGAAAATAAAAAAAATTATTCCACCAAACTATCAACTTGGTTATCATTATTGAACTTTTTTAGAGAATACTCTGAGCTTGTAATTATTCCTAACACTTGTGTAAGTGCTTGTGAAACTACTATCCAACTAAGCTCTAGTTTTATAACTACTACAAAATGCTTTTGCAAAGGCAATTTCTAAAAAAACTATTGTAAATATAAAAAGAGGGATGCAACTTGTAGTTCTCATTGTCATTCTAATAATGTTTAATATAAAAATTATAAAATTAAAAATATATTTTTTATATTAGTTATAATAACAGATAGTTAATATAAAATTACAGTATAAGGAGTGTGGTAACTTAGTTAAGTAATCAAGTTGTCATTTTTACAAGTGGCATATCAAAAGTTCAAATTCTATTAGTGATAATATTTGAAAATTCTGTAAATGTTACAGCAATTGTTTTTTGTTAATCAGCTAGAATAGGATATTTATACTTTTAGTTACATTAGTATGATTAAAAGATTATAGATATTTATATAATGTTAAAGTTACATATAGAAATACAAACTGATACTAGGCAATGCAAATCTTCAATAAGTTATATAGTTATATAAATTTAAAAAATTAAAAATGCAAAAATCTGTTTAAGAAGATCTAAGTAAAAAGGTAACAAAAATTTTTAAAATATTATTATAAAGATTATATTTAAGAAACAAGTGTTTAAGTAGATGAACTAAATAAGAATCAATTTATTTTATTTTTTTTTTAATATTAAAAGTAAATACTTGTGATCAAACTTTTATTAATAGTATGTTTCAACTTTGTAATTATATTATAACAATCACAGAAAGCAATTATAAAAAGAATGTACAATTAGTTACTTATATAGTTTTAGCTATTATTTAATTTAAGTAGTTTGTTTAAAGGTTCTATACTAGTTGCTATACTTAGAACCTGCTTGTAAGTCTTCTATTTAAATATTCTGGTTTTTGTATTCATTTATATACTTACTTTACTAACTGCTCTAGTTTTTACTGATACAAATATATTATAATTACTAGGTCTTTAAAGTGGCTTACTTATATAGAGAATTTTTGACCTTGTACTAAACCTACTAGAGTTTTCTGTTACTCACTAACTAATCTAATATTATTATAGTTAAGACTAATACTTGCAGTTAAAGTAATTCTTAAACTGCTATACTTTTGTAAAGTTCATATAACCTTAATATTTCTTTTTACAATTTTACCAGTATTTTGTATATCTTTGTAAGTTTTTCTATATTACCAATCTAGTTAACTCTGCATAATGCAACTTTATGCTTAGTTCAACTAATAGTCAATTTGATAGATTTTTTTTATTTAGAGTTTTTGTTTGTATAAACTACCTACTCTAAGTTTTTTTCTTTGAATCAAGATTTTCACAAATAATACTATCGATGATTATATTACTTCTTTATTTAGAATTTCCAAATAAAACTTCTTATAGAGTATATATTTTTTAGATTTATTCATATAATATTACATATTTTTAAAATTAGTCTTGATATAATCAGAATTATAGAATTATAATTTTAGATACCTCAATTAAGTTATTAGAATAGGTTTATTTTTAAAATTTTACTACTAGTAGAATTTAAATTTTGTATCTATTGCTTGAAAAATAACAACTCAACTATTATACTAAGATTATTATTTTTATAAAGATTAATTTATTAAGATAAATAGATAAATTAATTAGATTATTTGAATTTAGACTAAAAAAAAATATTAAATTAGTTTTAATATATTAAGAACAAATTATAGTCTTGTTAAGTTTTCTAAATTGAAAGCTTAAAAAAATATAAAAATATACTAAAGTATTAAAAATATATTATAAAGTAGATATTAGATTTTGTAAACAAGTTGTCAACCTTCAAGTAACAGGTTTAAAATTCAAATTTTATAGATAATAAATTTTAGAAATTATATTTGTATTATAATAATTATTTTTGTCAATTAGTTGAATTGATATATCTGTAACTTTCAGTTACATCATCTTAAATAGACACAGGTCGAATGAATAAATAAAGGGTGAATAATAGATAAATAACAGAAAAAAAAACTGCCATTATTCTACCCTATATCCACCAAATAATGGTAGCATAACAGCAGCATAACAGCAGAATAACAGTAAAATAACAGAAGGTTTGTCAATATGAGTAACATAATAGTAACA